CAGATTGCATCATGAGCAGCTAAGAAAAAACAGACCAGTCTTTTTTAAAAAGCAGAGAACAGTCGTGTATAATTAGTCTCCTGGAAGATGAATTTGCAGTAGCACATAAGGAATTTGAAGAAAAATATTAATTGGATTCTTGTGCTATCCACTTTCATGCTCAACTTCTGTTGGAGGATGTGCAGGCAGACTTTCTTCCCAAAACCTGCAATCTTCATATGGGGTCATGATTTCTAATCTTCAGCAGAGGGCGGGGGGGAGTCATTTGCTTTCTACCTCCTCCTCCTACAGTATAAATCTTCTCTACTCCGTTAACAGAAAAATACATGCAGCCATTTAATCTTGTTGAAGTAAGCAAATAAACTGATTAATTTTTAAACTGATGACTCATTCTGAGTAAAGTTTATAAAAGCCTGGTATGGCACGGTCTGCACAGCTTCCCTACACTTTAATGCCTGAATATAATTTTCTTCCAGATGGATACGGGGCAATTACATGATGATCATAGCAAGTGTTGCTAACAATGGTGTTAGAAATGCCAACTCATGATGATGCCTTTGTATTCCATTCTAGCTTTGAAATCCATTCTTGGCTACCCAATTTCTAACTCAGCTTTCTTCAGTTTTATGCTCTGCAGTTGAGCTGGACTTCAACTCCTACTACTGCAATCTGCAAACATGGAAATTGTATTTTAGCACATAAGGGGTGTAGGCATTCAGTTGGAAAAAGCTGCTGATATTTTTCTAATTTTAATTTTCACTTATTGTTTCAGCTGGGTTATTATACAATAAATGCATAAACATAAGAGAAGTCTATTATTTCTTTCATTGGATCTAAGTAGTAGAGTGCAGTTTCTCAAGATGTTGCTGTTATTACGATGAAAACGATCTGTCTTACTGTTCCTGGGATTTGTCTATATAAGGAGAAAATCTTGAAAAGTGTGGGCTCTTTTCAAGACATTTTTCTGATCAAGTCAAGCTTGGAGCTATGACTTGAAAAGTACCTAGTATGTACTGACAAGGCAGCAATTTATATGGATCTGTGGCTGAAGGTGAACAACATGAAGTCACATGCTAGATTGGATAGTGGAGTGGAATCTCAGTTAGTAAGGTGGATGGCCAGATTAATACATTATTAACATATTATTGTGTTAATAGCAATAATAATGATTCTACAACAGCAACAGACAGAGATGCTGTTTGCCCAGAAACCATATCATTCTCATTTGGTTGTGTTATAACCTGGTTATGTTATCACTCCCTGAAAGAGCACGTTCATGGTTTCTGGCTCTTTCTAAATTCTTAAAGAAAAAGGTTCCCCTTGCACATAAGTGCTAGCTGTTCCTGACTCTAGGGGGCAATTCTCATCTCCGTTTCAAAGCCGAAGAGCCAGCGTTGTCCAAAGATGCCTCCGTGGTCATGTGGCCGGTACGACTGAATGCCGAAGGTACACGGAATGCTGTTACCTTCCTGCCAGTGTGGTTCCTATTTTTCTACTTGCATTTTATGTGCTTTCAAACTGCTAGGTTGGCAGAAGTGGGGACAAGTAATGGAAGCTCACTCCGTTACGTGGCATTAGGGATTCGAACTGCCGAGCTGCCGACCTTTCTGATCGACAAGCTCAGCGTCTTAGCCACTGAGCCACCGCGTCCCTTAATTACTTAAGCTATTTAGCTACTTCTGAATAGGCAACTGAAGGCCATGGTTAGGATGGTCTGCATCGATTGTAGACCAACCTAAAGCAGGAGGCATAGGTAGCAATTACTCATTTCCTTATCAACTGTTGGTTAGATTGCAGCAATGTATCTTGAAGACCACCTAGAACTGGCAATCGGTTAACAATGCATCAGCTTATACTTTGGTGACTGAGAGTCACTAGAATGATATGAAACCAACGTTGTGGGTGCTACAGTTGCCAATAGACTTCCAAGGGTAAATTGAAAAGTTGGTTTTCTCTTATAAAGAACTATGTGCTTGGTATCTTAGTATCTTCAGGATTGCATGAGTCATGCAGGGTCAACCATCTAGTAAATGCTTGCTTCCCTTCTAAGGATATTAGATACCAGGAAAAAGAACTAGAAATATTTTTCTGTATGTCCTCAATCTCTGTAGGATTGCTGTTCCATGGAATGTGAATGGCACTTTCTCTGCCTTTTGAAAGGTACTCAAAACATAATTGTTTCAATCAACATTCAGTCTGTGATGTCACTTACAGTGGAGAATTAGAGCAATTGTGTTTTATTACAACTGAAGATAAAATTACATGCTTTCCAGATTTTTATAAGTATATAAACAGCCAAGAGCTCAATTGGAACTAATGCTATACAAATACTTTAATAAATGATGACACAATTACATATATTTCTGCATCAGAATAATTCACCTCTCAAATATCTGAGAGAAGGTGCTGTGAAAGAAAGAAGAAACTTTCTAGTGACAGCATAATTTGGTTCTCTTTTCCTGTCAAGGCTCTTCCTGTCATTAGATCCTTGGGGAAGCTACATCATTATTTTAATTAAAGCAGATCCTATAATCTTGCAAGTGTCAGAAAGCATGCTGAAGCCCATAATATGACTAATGCAAGCAGAGGGAACGATAGTGCTATACTGTTCTACCCTCAAGAGAGGCCTGATGAAGAATTGAGAATCACAAGCACTGTATCAGGCAATTACGGAGTAGCCACACGCCCCATTTTGGTAGATATTCATATAGGATATTTCCTATCTGAAATAATGTATTTGAAAAGATGTCCAGACCAGCTCCAGTTTATAAACTCTTAAAGGGAGAACCAGAGGTCTTGCAGTTGCCCCTTAACGCTGAGCCCTGGCGGTAGATTGAGCATGCCCACAAGCCATCTGGCCATTATGATAAGGTGTACAATATTTACATAATTGTCATAATTTCTAAATTTGCAGGAATATAAATGTTGCATAATTTTTATGCAAATGTATGATTATTTTGTCTTAAAAATGCAATGGATCATATCATAGTAAATCTTCTGTTTCTTTTTTTTCTTCCACTGTGTAATTGTGAGTAGAGGAGAAACTGCAGGAAAACTTGGCAAAATGTTAATTTAAGAAACTGATCCATCTTCCTACTTTTTTTTTTTATTAAAAAAAGCTTTCTGATCTTCTTTGAGGAATTAACCATAATGCGTTCCAGAATGGCATGAGTTGGCATGCTTATCAATGTTACGTGGGGTAGTATAAGGTTCCTACCTTGAACAGGGGGTTAGACTAGAAGACCTCTGAGGTCCCTTCCAGCCCTAGATCATATGATTCAAATGTATCATGGTATCTAACAACCAGATTGGGACCATTTACTCATGATAAAACAATAAAGAATCCTCCTGAACACAGTCTAGGTCAGTCAGCCAATGGATATCATGTATAATCATGTTATTTCCTGCCATTCTTTGTAAGCCTTTCCTTTTTCCATCCCTCCATAAGCTTTAATAAAATATAGAAAGATTATAGAGACAACAAGTTAATCAAAAGAGAAAATATATTTTTTTACCCAGTTATTTTCAGAACTGAACCATAATGTATTGAGCAAAGTATCTCTTATTATTAATTATTTTCTATGCTTTGATTCTTGGAATTTTCTACTAAGAGAAATGTTTGGAGGAATTTTAGAACAAAATCTGGTGCTGGCCATGAAGTTCAAAGTCAACATTTCTTTCATTTTAAAATAGCTGAACACTCCAATTGATATATACGTGCTATGCACATCAATCCTGTGCATGTTTATTCAGAAGTCTCACTGTCAAAAACATTTAACCCTAACAAATTGAGAAGAGGAACGAAATAATGCCATTCTATTTGTACCTCCTCAGAAATAAGTCTTACCAAGTTTCCCAAACATTATTCTTCAGTTAATGGGTTTTAAATGGCTCACACAGGTTTATGTGTTTTATTCTTAATTTTTTTATACATTTAACTCCAATCATGTGTAATGGGTATGTATGAACAGGATATTGGTAGACTTTTTGCTCTTTGAGGTAATACAATACATTTAGTCTTCACAACTCCTCAAGTACGTATTCTCCAACTTGTATTGGTATAAGGTTTTTTTTTTAAAAAAAAACACTTCTTATTCCTTTGTAACAAAAATGTAATAATAAAATAAAAATGTGTTGCCACAAAGTGGCAGCTGCATGTTGCCTACTTGTAGGATAATTCTCTCAATAACACTCTGAGGAACAAGTTCTCCTTGAAAGCTATTATATTGTTAATCCTCTTGTCAACGTTTGAATGCTGTGTGACCATCTTTCACCACCTTTCAAAGCTTTCACATGAACAATTGAATGAGTACTCATGCATTCACTTCAAGGAATTTCATGAAATCTAGGAATTTTTAGTGTTGGCTAAACTTTGTTACAAGATAGTGTTATCAAAAGCATAAGATCATCTCTGAGGGATCAGACCAACCTCATCCCATCCAGCATTCTGTTGCCATACAGGATAACCAGTGTCTATGGGAAACTCACAGCAGAACATGAGTACAATATCACCTCCTACTCATATTCCTAACCAACTGGTATCAGGAGTTTACTCCTCTGAAACTGAAGGTAGCAAATAGCAATCAGCCATATCAACCCTCAGCAGAAGCTACTAATAGTCTTATTCTTCATGAATGTGTCCTTCCCTTTTTAGCCATCCAAAATGCTGACCATTGCTATAGTTTCTGACTGCAACCATAATTAACATCTAAATTATTTCTTCTTTTCTCCATCCTGCATCTCCTGCCATTCAGCTTGACTTATGCGACTCTGAATGTTATCATTGCAAGAGACATTGGTGGGAGAAAAAACCCCAACATTGTCCTATTCCCTTATCATCCCAATGTGAATACTACAGATGTGCTCCCTCTTTTTTTAAATCCTAGATTTCATAAACAAGGGAACCATGTCAAATTTCCATATATTGTTTAAAAAAAAACCAACCAAACACCTAACCAAGGAATTGTTGCAAGAGGAGAAAAAGGAGTGATGATACTCACCTGAGAAGAACTGGCTAATGGAGTGAGGCAGAAGAGTTAGGAAAGCCAGTGGGCTGGCAAAGGAAGTTGAGAGTGCAGCAGAAATATAGGCCACCCCAGCCACCAGAGAATCAAGGCAAGCCAAGGAGGTATACAGACAGAACATGATGAAGTTCCGCATGTTACTATTCCCAATGCAGTTCCCTGTGAAGAAACAGTGGTGGTCATGCCTCTGGGTGGTTCGGGCACACAGTCTACAGAAGTGAGTGCCAGGCAGGGCTGAAGCAGGGGGCCTGTTTCCATCTGGCCACTCAGCCACCCCTTTGGCTCCTCTAGCCAAATCTAGGCCCTTCCCCAGGTCCTCCTCGGGGGAGTTCTGTATTACCAGGATGTAGTTGCCCAAAGCATTAGCTGAGAGGTACAGAAAGAGAGCCCCATGCAGCAGAGCAGAGGAGAAAAATGGAGTGGTGGAAGGGTCTTTGAACATGCTTGGGATGAAGAGGAAGAGCTGGAGGACGAAGGTCACTAAGGAGATACAGAGGAAGTAGGCTGGAGCGACCACATTGAGAAACCTGAGCACTAGCATTGTGGATTACATTCCTGCAGGGAAGAGCAAGAAGAGAACATGCATTACCACCAGCAACCTCATCCCTCCACTTGCTCTTTCCCAGTCATGTCAGGTTCCACACCTTCTTTGCCAGTTCATTGTTGGGAAGGCAAACTCCCTCCCACAGCCCCCTATTTTCCCTCCCCTCCGCTTGGAGGCAATCCCCTCTCCTACTTGTCCTCTTCAATTCCTGCTCAGCCAGGGTGCAAAGAGATTCTCTCCAAGGAAAGAGGAATATCTCTGCTGTACTTCAGAGCTGCCACTGGAGCCTCGGATATGATTCCAGAGTTTGATGGGTAAGGCTGGCTCTCCCTCTGTCCCTGCCTATTTTCCTGGCAGCCCCTAGACTTCCTGGCTTGAGTTCTCTCCACAATTGCCTGGAAGTGTATTCCATTGACTATTGAGCTTACTTTAAGTAGAGACATGGGGAATTCATTTCAAAGTCTGCCATTCCAGAGTCCCTCTTCTGTGCAGGATGTCCTTCTTACTAATGATTGTAGCAATATTATTGAATAATAGTGGGGAGCTGAGGACTATTCTAATCTACTGCAATAGAGATCATGAACAATGCTCTAATTTAGCATTGAAAGCCACCAATCTTCTCAGCTGCTGTCTGGACATACACATAATTAGGAAATGCTGCAAACAGCTGCTGAAGTGCTGCCCAGCCTCCAACAGTGCATGGGGAAGGAATTCCACCACGCAGCCACAAGCTCTTGCTTTCTTCTTTCTGTCTGGCTGGTGTGACTGTACAGTCAGTTCACATTATAAAATGAAGCTACCAAACATTCACTTCCAGACACCCAAACATGGATGCTTTTCTATGACTACTTCTCACCTCCTCCCCACCCCGCCTTTCTTACAGTGTCTCTAGGCTTCGTTCTCTGTTCCAAAACAAATCAATGTACGACACATACATAAAACACCCTGTGACAAATCTTTAAAAGACAGGGTTCTTTTTTTTTAAAGAAAAGAAAAAGAATGACTGCAGTAAAGAAACCAATACACAAAGCATTCTGTTCCCTAGCAGCAGTCCAGGTTTTCACACACACACACACAAACAGACACATGCCACCCGTTCACTGTCTCTAGTGAAATGCAAAGTTAGGAACTGTATTTCTCCAAGAAAAGGTTCTTATGGCTTTAATTCACGTAGCTTAAGACAGCAAAGAACTTTTCTGGGCCAGCACTTTGATCCTGATGCCAAGTGACTTCCTTCTCCACTTCCGAACTCAGATTCGTCTGGTTACCTGTCTGCCAGGATTATTAAGTAACCTTGGGATCCCCTTGCTATTAGCCTTTATGGATCCCCCCACCCTAACATACAGATACACATCGGTACACACACACACACACACACACACACACAAGCATCCTCGCACATTTACACAGACTTACCTAGATGCCTGAAGCCAAGCAATAGGTGCTGTCCATTCAGCACTGTCCTCCTTAGATGTCGTGGCGCCCCAGGCCAGTGGCTGCTTTTCTGTCAGCAGCAGCAGCAGCAATGTGAAGAGCGGAAGGACTCAGAGAGCTCCCGTCAGAAGCATCTCCGCTGCCACCAGCTCTCCAATGCACAGGGCTCAGTGGGGGTCCTCCCTCTGCAGCCCCCACAGGTTCCTGCTTTGTCTTAACAGGGGAGCTGTCCTCCCCTTCAGCGCCCTGATGTGCGTTCACTTGAGGAGCACCACAGGGAGCTGTCCCTTCAGCACCACCAACAGCCGCACTCTCGCTCCCTCGCTGGAGAGGCGGGGGTATAAACAGCAGTCTGTGAAAATCCGGAAGAGGTGCACCTCTACCTGGAGCCCTTCCAGGCAGCCTTCCTTGAAAATGTAGCTGAGCCCAGAAACTCAGAAAGGCAATGACCTGTGGATTAAGGAAGAAAACACAAGCTTATCACTAACTACATTCTCTTCTGTTTCCTTTCAAGCTGCATCTGTTTCAACCTCTTTTTTCCTATGAGGGGTGATCAGAGGCTGATGATAAGCTTCAAGCAGGACATAAGGGCAATCACATTCCAGCAGGGCTGCCCTCTTTAAGTGCCATGTATTACTGAAAGCTTAGTTGTGTTTGTCACTGGGTTTAGCACATATTGTAAATGTCTTCCAGATTGCTTTGAAAAATTAAGGGGATGAGTAATCATTTCTGGACCAAAATAATGACAATGTTTGAGGTTGTACAATTAAGTCAAATCCAATTTCTGCCTAATAGGGATTGATGAGCACTGAGATACTGTGTACCTGTACAAATGCACCTTTCCCTAATTCTAAATATTAGCCCATACTGGATTAAGCAGAGTATGGACTTGGCAGTCATGATGGGATTGGATAAGTCTGCCTGCACAGAAAACTGATGACTTTTTTCCCCTTTTACCTGAATTGAAGCATTCTGAATGTGAATTGATATATTGCACATACTGTATCTCTTAGTTGGTGGTGAATGCTTGCAAGGTAGTTTTTACATATTGAATCTTGGAATGGAAAACGTGAGCATCCTTGGTGTAAAACTGGTTGTGCTTGTGATATACTAAACAATACTATTCTTACTATTATCAAGGAATGTTGCATATACTACAGATATTTAGTAGCTGTCAGGAACCTAGCCTAGACCCACTCCATTTTTTCTAGAAATCATGTATGCATTCATTGATCATGGCAGATTGATGAACAGCAGATTGATGACTATAGTGTATGAAAAATTGCAGCTTGGAATATAAGCGGAGTAAATGTCAAAGAGGAGGAATCTAAAACTGAAATGGAAAAGAAGTACAGACACATTGTGTGTCTGTAAAATTAAGAGAAAGGGAAATAATGTAAAAAGAGCGGAATAAAAGTTGCATGGAATGGAGTTGAGTGAAATATGCAATTAACTATGAATGAAATAGCTAAACCTATATCAGAAAATTGCATATTTTCTCCCCTGAGTGCATTGCACACCTGCAGATCTGACCTCTGGTGGAACTGTTCCAAGAAATGAAGGACATTCATTGGATTCCGTTAATGGTTGTAAGTATAAATTAAACTAGGAATCCATAAATTGGCAATGGTTGCTTATTTACAAACGAATGGGATATTATAATTAAATATCAGTTCTGGTAAAAACTGTAATATTTAAAATGAATATAATTGGGGTGGGTGGTGAAGATAAAAGTTCTTCTGAGACAGCTATAAATGGATGAATGGGAGAGAAAACTGGTCCATTTGTAGACCCAATACTAAACAAAGAATGTGATTTATTTGCTTTAAAAACTATGCTTTTTTGAATTTATACTTATTGTGTGTCTTTTCATTCTTCACATGGAAAAGGAATGAAGATAAATCTAAAAGCTTCATAGAATTGAGTGGACACTTGGAAAAACAACAAAACCAAGAGATTTACTGGAGGATACAAGGGTGCATAGAATGGAATTGAATAGATTAGAAAACAGAACAGAACAGAATGGAATAGAATTCTTTATTGGCCAAGTGTGATGAGACACATAAGGAATTTGTCTCTGATGCATAAGCTCTCAGTGTAACATACAATAGTGATAAATCATTATCATAGTTATTGTAAAGATACATTCATCATAAAATGTTAAATACAACACTTACTGATAGTCATGGATACTAAATAAGTAATCAACATAAATCATACTAGGTGTTGTGGGAATTGGTTGTTTAGCAAGAGTGATGGCATGGAGGAAAAAACTGTCCTTGTGTCTTGTTCTGATGTATAGCATTTTTTGAGGGTAGAAGTTGAAACAGTTTATGTCCAGGATGCAAGAGGTCTTCACAGCCCTCCTTCTGGTTTGTGCAGTATACAGATCCATTCAGTGGAAGGCAGATTAGTTTAGTTTAGTTTATTGATTTTGTATGCCGCCCACTCCCGAAGGACTCTGGGTGGCTTACAATAAACAAGACAAGGGGATAAATAAACAAGACAACACCTTAAAATACGCAACATTCACAGTTACCGTGGGGCTGGATATTTCACAAGCCCCTGGCCTGCTGGAGCAGGATCTCCATGGGGAAGTCGTTCCAAAGGGCTGGAGCTGCAACAGAGAAGGCTCTCCCCCGGGGAGTCGCCAGCCGACATTGGCTGGCAGATGGAATCCGGAGGAGACCTAACCTATGAGATCTAATCGGTCTATGGGAGGTAATCGGCAGGAGGCGGTCTCTCAGGTACCCAGGTACCCAGGTAGCAATTGTTTTTTCTGCAGTTCTAATTATCCATTGAAATTTGTGTCTGTCTTGTTTGGTTGCAGAGCCAAACCAGACAGTTATAGAGATGAAGTTGACAGACTCAATAATTCCTCTTTAGAACTGTATCAGCAGCTCCTTGGGCAGCAGGAGCTTTCTGACTTGGCTCAAGAAGGACATTCTTTGTTGTGCTTTTTGGATGATGTATTTGATGTTAGGTGTCCATTTTAAGTCTTGAGATATTATAGAACCTGGAAACTTGAAGGTCTCTACTGTTGCTACTGTGTTGTCCAGCATTGTGAGTCGTGGTAGTGCAGGAGGGCTTCTCCTAAAATCTACATCATTTCTAGTAACAGGTGAATAACATTAAAAATAAAAGTAATGAGATTATTTGGGATGAAACTGAAATGATAAAATGCTGAAAGGAACATTTTATATATTTGTATAGAAATGATGGTGATACGTTTTAAGAATGTAATTGAACTCTGTGGTATAAATGCTATCCAAGTTCCCTAGTAAAAGTGTGGTAAGTACCACACTTACCCTGTAGTAAGATGGGCAGCCAATAAATTTTATAAATAAAATAAATAAGTAAATGAAAGTCATGCTGAAAGAATCGAGAAAAATTGTAAGGTTATTGGTATGGATTCTATAAATCAATAGGCATTATAAAATGGACAAATATTTATTTATGGAGTGGCTGGAAGACTTTTTAAATCTGTATAAAGGTTACATCTATGTCTGTCCGATGAGTAAAATGATCCATTTATCATGTTCATTTGAAACAAAGTGTTAACAACTTCATAAGTGTTTGTTGAATAAAATCCTGCTCCCATAAATTCTCTGTATTAATGCTGCAGTCTCCTGGCTAATGTACCATTGTCATACACTAAATAATAATATGTCCACATTCTTATCTCCCTCCCTTCCTCCCTCTCTCTTCCTCTCCCTCTCCCTCCCTCCCATATACAGCAAATACTCATCAAGATGAACATTCATATAAATCATGTATGCTATACATACTGTATTACACACACACATTCTGTAGAAGTTATAATAAAACATTTTGCCGACACCATTTGCACATCTGTGCTCATACATCATTCTGGATAAGGTCATGTTAGCAGGCAAAAATACCTCTCTTACCTTACAAAAGAAATACCTATTGCAATCGTTTAAAATAATTCTGAATTAAATGATGATCTACCATGTTTCCCCATTGACCCTTGAAATAAGCGTTTGGCCTTATTTTTGGGGAGGTCTTTTCATTCTTGAGGTGCAGGAGATGGCAAGCATGGTCACCTCATGGCTGCTGCTATGCTGCAATATTTTCGGGGGGGGGGCTTATTTTAGCACATGCACTCAAAAGCTTGATTGGGCTTATTATCTGGGGACGTCTTATTTTGGGGGGAAAGGTTAAATCACAAAATAAAAGTGGCAGTAGATTTAGTCTTCCATCCTGTCCTTTTCACTACAAATGCTCCAAAATATGTCTTTCAAAATATTATTTTAAAACCTCTAGGGTAGGAATTCTCTACATCTCCATGTAACTTCCTCTTATGGCAACATTTTCAGTATGTTGCAATTTTACATGTCTTTTTTCATGTAAGTTTCATTATTTCTATGAATATATTACAGTAAAATAAATGACTGCTAGTTGTTTTTGTTGAATAACTGAAAATTGTTCTTCTCCTGTGCAACATAGGATAAGCTTCTGCATGTTGCTTGATTATTTATTAAAATTTATACTCTCTCAGTTTCCACAACACCATGCACCTAATATAATAAAATGAAAATATAAGCTTAAATATTAAAATATGATTAAAATTACATGAGTGCTGCTGCATGAACCTATATTCCAAACACTCTATTAAAGACTGTGGTCTTTATGAAAACTGTTACTAAGAAGAAATTTCTTCAGACTTCGATGCAGTTTACTCCCATGTGATTTTCATTTTTGTTTTTGTTTGGTGGATAATCTATAAATTGTTCAAGCTTATCTGCAAGATATTTAATCTTGAGTGTATGTATTCTGAATATTTCCAAGATTGTCAACAGCTTTATTTTGTTTTTATTATAATAATTAATTCATTATGAAGACTTTATATACAATCTGACTGGAATGAATGAAAGCTTATCAAAGCAAGGAGAACAATAATTCAATAAATTATAGGAAATAGGTATTTTAAGAAAGTAAATATATTCCTGGTAGTTATTGGAGCAGAAATATGCGTAATTTAATCTATTGTTCTGCTTATATAAACAAGGCAACAAAATGATTTGGGCTTGCAACTTTTCATGGAAAATTTCTGCTAATAAACTGTAAGGCACATTTATGAAGCTTTATAATGAACTCCAACAGAGTGTTGAATATTCAGCACCCAATATATGATCTTTCATTTTCAGCTTCAAAATGGAAATGACCAATTGCAAAAGATAAAATATTAATTTCCCTTTAACTCTTTCTCCCCAAGGATCTCCTTATAAAACTGTCTTCACTTAGATATAACCACAGTTAAGCTCTAGCCCTCTTTCATAAAGTGGAAT